GCTGGGAGTGACAGATGGAAAATTCGAGGGAAGCGGAGGGCCTTTATGTGAAACGACCGTATGCGCAAAATATGCACCAAGGCCCCCTGGGTTTGCTACATTTGCGTTAAGGGGGTGGTTTCTCGACGGTACCGACGCGCATCGACCGATGTCTGATATCCGATATGCGCAAGGACGGCTTCGACATTTGCTATTTGCGAAATGCTATGCATGGATCTACGCTTTCTGTGGAATACAGTTAATGCTGGCTAAGAAATTCAATGTGCGCAATTTTCTGCTAAAGTTGAAATTTATTCGCATGTTTACCCCGTGCTTAGCTTGTGGTCAAGCAAATGTGGTAAGACGCGATAGGTGCGCTAACGATGAGGTGGGGTATATAGTGTGGGCGGTGTGGCAATTACTTTATTGACAGACAGGTGTAGGCCCTTCAAATAACACCGTGAATATGGAAATGCGAGGTTTGGGTCTCTTCTGGAGGTTATAGTTTATCATTAGACCTTTTTAGTATACTCCCTCCCTCCATCTATATAGGGCCTAATGCGTTTTTTCAAGACCGTCTTTTACCATTGACAAGATTAATAGCACATGAGATGTATAATGTGAAAATTATATTATTGGAAGCTTCTTTCACATACGAATTTGATGGTATGCTTTGTGTAAGTTGCATGTCATATATTATTGCTCTAACATTTGGTCAAAGTTGACCTCAAAAAATGCATTAGGCCCTATATAGATGGAAGGGGGGATATGATTGTTGATTGAAAAATTGTTTTGTACTGGTCATGACATCGTATATCACATAGTGTTGGATATCCAATATGCCAGAGTCAAGCTAGGATCAACTCTAGCAGTTGCTATCTGCATCCTTAGTTTGAAATTTGGACTGTTGTGTGCAACTGAGAAATTGTTTTGCACCGGTCATGATGCCGTACATCACATGGTGTTGGATATCCAATATGCTAGAGCCAAGCTAGGATCAACTCTGGCAGCTGCTATGTGCAGCCTTAGTTTGGAATTTGGAATGTTGTGTGTGATGTCTATATTTATGTATGAATTGTCCTAGGAAAACAACTTCTGTTAGGTGGAAAATGTATATGTGTGGCTTTGGTATTAAAGTTAGGACTTATTGGTATGGTGCCCAGGTGGTTTGCTTTTGATCGACCAATTTATGGTAATCCACAATATGTGTGATATCGAGGAGGTGGGAGGATATAATACGCAATGAATGTGTAAGAGACCAATGTAGCCTTCTTTCTCAAATATAAACCTCTTTTTCTGGAAGAGTTTATTCTTAGTTATTAAAGTATGTAATTTTTTACAGAGCAATTATGCAGAGGCATAACATTCGTGTCTAATTAAGCAAGGATGCAATTATTTATATAGAGATTTACATATCACCGCATTAAAGTGATGTTTGTTTGGGTTTTTACTTCTGCTTTTGCAGCTTTTCCACTTTGACCAAAAGCCATAAAAACTCCTAAATAGGCGCTTTTGAAGCAAATAGGTGCTTTTGGAGCTTTTATGACTTTTGAACATCAAAAGCCATAAAAGCTCCAAAAGCGCCTATTTAGGAAGCTTTTATGGCTTTTTGGCTAAAGTGAAAAAGTTGTAAAAGCAAAAGCAAAAGCCCCAAGAAACAAGGCCTAAGTTGACTCGAGGAGACTCCACTTGTCTATCCATTGATTCATGGTTATATATTGTTAAAATTGGTATATGTGAACCATTATACCATTTTTATTGGTCAATTCTATATTGAAGCCAGGAATCACACAAGGTTGCAAATCCCACAATAAACTACTTGCCACGAATCATATTGAAAAAAAACAATGGTACGTTGTGTATCAGCCATTGTTTGTTATCCAAAATAGACCAATTTCGACGTTGTATTTGCGACGTTAGTTGGGAGTTCATACAACAAAAAATGGTTCCCTACTTGTGTGAATCTATTCCTATGGTATACGTTTAATGTTAGGTACGAAATTTGGGGTGCGCAACTTCCTCTGAAAGATAGGCCTTACTGGCATGTTACCCCAATGCTTAACCTGTGATCAACTAGTTGTGGCAAGGCATGGTACGTGTGCTAACAAGGAGGACGGGAGTATAGAGTGTGGAAATGAATTATTGATAGTCGAGTGTAGACCTCTCAAAATTAAGTGAAATGTGATGTGTGAGGTCTTCTTAAAGGTTAGAATTTTTTGTTATGTCATTTCATTGCATGATTATGATTAAGAAATATATTGCATATGTCATCGTGTCATATATCACCTGTAGTCTGGCAACTAATATGCCAAAGCCAAACTAGGACCAACTTTGTCCTTTGTTATCCACAACCTTGGTTTGGAATTTGGACAACGGTGTGTGACTTCATATTTGTGTATTGGCTTGGAATTTCGACCACGAGACGTGTGTTCATATTTGTGTATGAACATGTCCTTACAAAGAAGACAACTAATGTTAGGTAGGAATTTTAATTTGTGCAGCATTGTCTTAAAGCTAGAAGTCATTGCTGTGCTACCCAGGTGGTTAACTTTTGATCGAGCAATTGTGGTAAGACCTGGTACGTGTGCTATAAGGGAGGTGGGCGGATTTATATAGTGTGAAAGGAATTATTGAAAGGCCAGTGCAGTCTCCTTGTCGTGAAATGTAATGTTTCAGTCTTTTTTTATGGAATGAGTTTTACTGTTCGGTTGTTGCTGCGTGTAACTCTCAAGCGAGCAATTTAAATTAAGCAAGGGGGCAAATATTTGTATAGAGTTTCACATCATCGTGATATCGAGTTGCCTCGAGAAAACATTGTTCATCTACCCACTAGTTCATGATCAAGTTCTTAAAAGTAGTTTTTTAATGGTTATCTAAAAATAAATTGAACTCTCTCTTGAAAGAAAAAAGTGTCTGGTTAGAAATTAAGTTGTGTCAAATTGGTTTTCATAGACATTGGATTGAAAAAAATGTACGGCTCACGTTCTTTCTTCAACCTTCGGTCATCTTCTTCCCCTGATTGTGATCCAACCCAGGCCGGACTGCGGC